GACCGGGAACGTCCCTCAATACGTGATATAGCATTCAGTCTCTATAGATTGGCTTTTCAGTAATAAGATAGAATTGAGAATAAATATTTGAAAAAAATCACTTTTGTCATTGAATTGTGTCATTCTCTACTGACAAACCTCTAAATGCAATAAGGGGCGTTCAATAGGCACAACTCTGGTATTACTGCATTCGCTTCACTGGCTGTGTGAAATATACACTGTTATCGTATACAATATCTTATGTTTTCACAACATTAATGACACATTAACATTTTATACTCATAAAATCAGCATCAACGTGAATAATGATACATGTAAAGGACGCCTACAAAGATGTGTTTAATTTTTATAAACGTATAAGGGTTTATACACCCGAGATACCTGTTGTTTGGACAAATGTCAGCCCAGCAGTAAACACGATCTCTCCTCGGGGTATGATGCATGGGAAAACTGGTAGCAATTTCAGCAACAGTTTCGGCGTCAATATTAGCACTTAATCACGCGAGTCTGTCAATAACTTAATAACATTATTTAATCAAGGCGACTTCAGTATTCAGGAACTCGTGGGCTCCCGACCGCCTACATAATCAATGGGTTAGGAGGGATTTCATATACAAAGCCCAGGTATGACTCCGATCATCTGATAAGGTAGGAAGACTAATGTTATTGTTGACGAATCCAATCCGATTTAGAGCCACGGGTATATTGTTCTGTTGGAGCTGTCCGGATTCAGTAAATGGGATACATACATGAATGTAGTATTGTTGGTTTAGTCGGTTTGCAAAAGTGCAAATGCCTGCACGTGCCGATTTGTTGGTTACCAGAGATTGGTGTTTACAAAATGTCTCGGATTTGCATACGTTTTGGAAACGAAAGAAAACAGATGCCTTACCTAGGCTTTTAAAAAGGAATGATTGCACTGTCTGCATATGAATCAGACTGCAAATTCGTAGTTAAGGGATGAGCACGTATGGAACCAATATGGGGAATGAGCTTGACGAGCGAAGTCTTTAATCATTTCACCCTTCAAGTATGAATGACAAGTCTTTATTGATGATCAGCTTCTTTATTGTGCTATAGCGACGTTTCGGTATAGATACTCATACCGTTTTCTCATACTTGAAACATCGCTATTGCACAGTTGATCATCAATAAAGACTTGTCATTCCTATCACAACTTCTAGAATGCCTCTGAAACAGTTCACCCGCCAAGTGTAGCTGACTGGTTAGATTTGCTATCCACCATGTTTTAATTTAAACTGTGCTAGGCGAATGCGTGATTTAAGCTGTCAGATTCAGGTGATGATGATCGGAGACCATCGGATCCTGACACGCCTGAGGGGCGCAACTCGTGCAAATTATAACGGGGGCTTTGTGTCCCTTTTCTATGCATATAAGAAGTGAAAACTTGTTTTGGTCGGATGAAACAAACTGCCCCGAGCGTAAAGAATTGTAAACACTCATTGCTTTGCATAAATATCGATTATTCATCATACTCGCTTACAACCAGCAGTAGGAATGTTTAGCGCACAGATTGTACTTTGTCCGTGAACAATAGCTGAAAATAATCCAGGCAACTACAGTGTATTTCCTTCTTCGACAGACCAGGACCAGTGGTAACTGAAAAGGAAACTATTTGAGACTCACATTCTTACAAATTCCTGTTGAAATGAGTTATAAGGGGAAGTGACAGACACAGTCCAAGCATTTGTTCATGCACACAAATCCCGGATGGGACTCAACCAAAAAGTACTAGAATCTGTACTTTACTAAGAAAGTGTAATCCCAAAATATATCATATGTTACATTTGACCACTTTCTAAAATGGCATTGTGTATTTCATAGCTTTCGGCCGTGGGAGCCGTGCCAGTTAACACTTATCAAAGGGGGTACACAAAGTCCGCAGTCTAGACTACCAGTTGTCCGACTTCCATTTTTGTGGAAGCTGCGTTGGCTGAGCGGTCTAGGCGTCTGACTTTGTGTGCTGGCGATTAGGTGCCTGATTCTGAGGGTGTGGGTTCGAATCCCGGATGGGACTGAACCCAAAAAGTACTAGAATCTGTACTTTACTATTAAAGTGTAATTCCAAATATAACATATGTTACACAAAAAGAAAGTTAAACATTATTTCAGGGCAGGTCACATTACAAAACATATATACTCTCCCAAAAAAAGAAACACATAGGAATTTCAACTGTATTATTATGTATATTTTGAAACATCTTGCAGGCTTTATGAGTCAATGAAATATAGCGAAATTGCACACTGGGAATGCAGACTTATCCGTCTTTGGCACCAACTCGAGGAAAGTCAGTTTGAGTGTCACATGGAGACGTGTGGTGGCGCTGAAGTCAATACCTCTTGTGACCACCGTGGGCATCCAGAACTGCACGGCATCGCCTCGGCATCGAACGAATAAGTCTCAGAATCTCGTGTTGCCCAATCGCAGCCCACTCTGCCTGTAGTGCCTGTGCGAGTTGCTGAAGTGTCTGGGGCTGAGGGTTACGGCGTCGCACGCGTAAGTCCAGGGCATCCCACAGATGTTCGATCGGGTTTAAATCCGGTGATCTTGAGGGCCAGTGGAGCACATTGATGTTGTGTTTCTGGAGGAAGTCTCTAGTGTGACGTGCTGTGTGGGGCCTGGCATTGTCCTGTTGAAACAACTCCCTCTGGCGATCAATGCTTGGAAGGAGGTGTGGGCGTAGGATTTCGTCACAGTACCGTTAAGCTGTCAGGTTGCCCTGGATCATCACCAAATCACTTCTACGGCAGGTGATCGCTCCCCACATCATAACACTGTCCCTGCCGAATCTGTCCACCTGGGGAACGCAAGCGTCGGCGAAACGTTCACGTCGACGTCTGTACACCCGCATTCTTCCATTGCGTTGTTCCAATAGAAATCGTGATTCATCACTGAACCAGATTCTACGCCAATTCGGTAGGTTCCAGGCCTGAACGTTGGTGCACCATTGAACTCGATGTCGACGATGTTGTTGTCGAAGCACAGGGCCAAAATAAGGTCTTCTGGCAACCTGTTCCTGACGGTCTGTGCAGAAAGCCTCCTCAATCCGGGTATTAGTCGAGCGATACTGGTCGCCGTAGCTGTTCGATGACGCAGGTGATGTACCCGGATGTAGCGATCGTGCGCCGCAGTGGTCGCTTGAGGTCGCCCACTACGAGGGGCATCTGCTACCACATTCTGCCTGCGATATCTCTCCCAGAGCCGTGAAATGGTGCTTTGGTGAACATTCATGCGTCGGGCAACTGCACGTTGAGACTGGCCAGCTTCAAGCGAACCAATGGCGACATGACGGTTGGCTTCACTTAGACGTGGCATTTTGCGTTCGTCAACAATATTCCAAATAAAGTGAATAATCGACAGACAGCGATCAACCTTTTATACCCATCATTGAGACTATCTGATCCCCAACTTTCACGTGCATTACATGTGAATTGTGTATTCTGTGACACTACACGCCGAAATAGAAAATCATGCTGTGAAATACGGGTATTTTACGGATGGTGCGTTTTGCTGTGATGTTTCAAAACATAAACACCATAGGACTCATAAACAGAGCAAAACCTTTTGTAAAATGAATCACGTTTTAATACGTTGCTACATGAAATTGCTATTTTCATGATGCGATTCTTTTTTGGGAGAGTATATAAGGATTTACATTTTGTTTAGAAACTGCAATTTCACTGGCTAATCACCTTTCAGTCTGATTCTTGACGGATTACGTGGGCTGAATAGTTGTGCATGGGTTGGGTATATTTTACGACTGCTTCGTTCATCTAAATGTCTATGGAGACAGTAACTGTTTGATTCAATTTAAAAATAGAAAATATAACACACCTATCCTTTCCTGTAGGCAAGGTCATATTTTAACCTGTATATCGATTTAATAATAGATGAATAATTTCATAAAACAAAAAACAATGTCTAAGTTTCTCCCAAAACATTAAATTAATAGCAGCGGCATGACGGGCAAAAATATGCACTGGGATTAGAACACTCAACGGCTTCTGATCACTGATAGACCATTTCACGATAACATATGTTAATCGGCGATACCCGTGAAGCTCCGGGTCTTCAGCAACCCTCATAATTGTCGTAAAATGCGGCTAACGGGATCGGATGTCAGACTCACTGGATGATGCCAGTCAAAGCGTGCCATTCTACATTTAGACACGGGCTGTATCCCAGATACGGGAACTAGACAGTCACTACCCACGGACTTTATGTATAGAGTGGCGGAAACACATGTTGGACAAATCCTAAATGTCTAATGAATTGGACGAATCAAAAAACTTAAAATCACTCAGGGCTTCTTATGTGGGACACCTAACTTGCTGGCTGATGCTTATATAGCGAAAGTGACAATCACTAGTCAGTGTAATGAGTGAAATGTGAATTGAATGCTTGAAATGTATAATGATTGATTGAATGTGGTTTATTGTTCAGCATTTAAAGCCCTCAAAATGTTGGAAAGGGTACAAATAGTGCTCTAAATAATTTGGTAATGATGTCTAAGGAACTGTCTATGAAGGTTTATTAATTTAAAAGTTTCACAAAAACATTCCAGAAAATGTGAATTTAGCGTAGTACTTAAGTATAAAATTATGAATAACAAGAAATTGCATTGTTTTTGCTTTTTATGCTGCAAATAAACGCAAGTCGGTTTCGGACATTTTGCTTTAATAGCTACTTGTCACAAACACATTCTAATATGAAAATAAATGGGTACTGACACTCAAAAAAGTTTGTTCTCAAAATTGTTTTACTTGTTTTAACGACACATATATTCCAACTGCTTTTCTTATTGGACGCTTTCTGATGTATATCTCTAGACATTTGCATATAGTAATACATGCCCAAGTAAACTCAACCTGTTAAAAGCTTGTCATGATTTACTGGTCAGTCAGTGGATTGTTATTAAACAGTTGTAAACCTATTGAAAAAAGATTACCCGGAAGGCGGACCAATCAAGGGCAGATAACTCGAAAAAATCAAGCAAGATGGCTGACAAGGAGAGTACCGACGTGTCAACATCTTCAGCTCAAGCTAATAACCCGCTGTCACGGAAGTTGAATAAAATACTAGAATCCAGACTTGACAATGACAAGGTAAAATATCTTTCCTTACAGTATTGTAACGAGACAAGCGAAGAACGCTAAAGTTTCATGACACAGACTCCTGTTCGGTTTTCGATCAAAGCGAGTTTTTGTAAATATGTAAATAGTAATTCCAGTTTACAGTATTGCCATGACCACGTGTTATTTCTTAGTGTTACTTCATAGTATAGGAAATCAAAGTAACTGTGCCAATTATTTTGACTTGTGTGACAGTACAAACACTTGAGCATATTTTAGTCAGAGTTACGTCCAAGTTTTGTCATAGATTTGAAATGAAGAATTATTCTTTGGAAAGAGTTCCTTACGTACCCCCAGTCTATTATATGGTCTCTATTACCCCCGCCTATATTTGTGATGAGCAAATACTATAGTTTAGTCTATAGTTTATAGTTAAAAATTAGGTGGGGAATACGTAAAGAACTCTTACCGAGAAGTGAAACAGGTCCTAATATTCATATATTATAATGATGATAATAGGGTGTTGGCAGTAATCACTTTTCAGCTATAACTGGTAGTAAGAAATATTTATTCTCATGGTTATTTTTGCAGGATATGCTGGAGGCTCTCAAAGCACTGTCAGTGTTTTTCTCTGAGAACAGCCTGAGAACACGAAGAAATCTTCGCAGTGATATTGAAAAAAGAAGTCTTGCAATAAATGAGGAGTTTCTGGATGCATTTCAAGTTGTCAAAGAGGTGAACATACTGAACGTTAGAGTAAATGGTTATTTGTATCGGGGAATCTATTTGCATGTTATCAGACTTGAAGATAGATTAATATATATACTTCCTGATTGTATACTAACGGAAAAAAGGAACTATGCATGGCATAAAATTGCATGAAATAAAGGTTATTTGTAAAGCTATAAAAATAATCTTAAATAAACATGTAGCAAAGCACTTTGCATGATATTTGCTGTCATATATTGCATGTGACACATGCACTTAGTGCACAATGAACTTACTTGCTTTTGAATAATGGTTGATTATTCTCTAGCCACTGACTGTTGAGGAAAACACATTAATTTGAACCTAAAATGCATGTACGTCATGCCATGGCTTACAGAAAATCATCGTCTCTGTGCTGTGGGTATGCTGGAGACTGAAATGACCCAAAATGAAGTGGCCAGACATGTTAGTGTCCATTGAGACATGATCTCATCTCTGTGGAGATGTTTTCTACATAACAGGAACACGAGAGATTTGCCTCGGACTGGCCGTCCACATGTGATATCAAGTCAGTAAGACAACTACATGCGCCTGACCCATCTAAGGAATCAATTCCGGACTACGACTTTGACTGTTGAACGATTCTTGGCTTATGTCTAATCAGTTCCAGGACTGTACGGAACCGACAGAAGGAGCACAACATCCAGCCTTGATGGTCTGAAATATGTCCAATTTTGCTCCAATGTCCCATACAGGCACGTCTAAGGAGCAGGGCAAATTCCTGACCCTTGTCTATAAACTAGGTGACCCTTGCCTGTTTTTAACTTTAGAATATCCTCTTGTAAGTCCTCAAACAGTTAAAAAATAATTTCATCCATTTTGTTGCCGTTATTCTTCAGCAACTGGACAGTGTGTACGCTGATGTGAAGGGCATGAATGACTGCTGCCAAGACATGACAAACAGACTCAAGGTGTGTAGCGTCAGTTCTATTATCCTGCTGGTTCATGTTTTAAATACATGATATTATATGAACTTATAATTCAGTAATCAAATGTCTGAAGAAGTTTTAAAAATATTTCATAAATGCCATTAATCTGTAGTCATTGTAAATGATGGTGTGACATATAAACACTGATCAGTGTGCTGTGTAAGGTTACAGTCCCCTAACCTTTACATCTGAAATCAAACCATGAAGATCCATGCTTGTGGAAAGACTAACGTGATCGGGTGTTCAGACTCGCTGACTTGGTTGACACGTCATCGTATCCCAATTGTGTAGATCAGTGCTCATACTGTTGATCACTGGATTGTCTGGTCCAGACTCAATTATTTACAGTCTGCCACCATCTAGCTGAAATATTGTCAAGTGCAGCATTAAACAACAAACCAACCAACCAACATCTAAAATCAGGGAGCCAAAAGCATGTTACCTCTTCATGGAGTACTAAAACAAAGAAAAATGCTGATCATATGACATACATAAAGTGAAAACAGCTAGAGTTCTGGATTTGCTCCATTTTTAATGTCTGAATACAGTCCCCACATTTGATTCCAGGCAGCAAAGGAACAGACTCATGACCTGATTAACCAGACCACCACCCTGCAGGCCGAGAGGTAATCCATGTCACTTTAACAATAGCAGTCGTGAAAGTCATGCACACATTCCTGGTGTCACTCCCAGCACTCGCTGATCCAGGCAGTGATGTATGAAACACATAGGATTTCGGAAAGGTCGAGTTGTCCCTTGTTTGCATCAGATTATGATATGTGAAGCCTGTCATAAGTGTCAGCGAGTTCCGTATGTAAAGGCCATTGTTAGTGTCAGAGAGAAACATCATTGTTAAGAAACATCATTGTTAGTGTCAGAGAGCATCATTGTTAGTGTCAGAGAAACATCATTGTTAGTGAGAGAAACATCATTGTTAGTGTCAGAGAGAAACATCATTGTTAGTGTCAGAGAAACATCATTGTTAGTGTCAGAGAAACATCATTGTTAGTGTCAGAGAGAGAAACATCATTGTTAGTGTCAGAGAGAAACATCATTGTTAGTGTCAGAGAGAAACATCATTGTTAGTGTCAGAGAGAAACATCATTGTTAGTGTGTTAGTGAAACATCAGAGAGAGAAACATCATTGTTAGTGTCAGAGAGAAACATCATTGTTAGTGTCAGAGAGAAACATCATTGTTAGTGTCAGAGAGAAACATCATTGTTAGTGTGTCATTGTTAGTGTCAGAGAGAAACATCATTGTTAGTGTCAGAGAGAAACATCATTGTTAGTGTCAGAGAGAAACATCATTGTTAGTGTCAGAGAGAAACATCATTGTTAGTGTCAGAGAGCTCAAACTGTTAATCCAACATTGTTGTTCAGAGCTGTCAGAGTGTCAGAGAGATACATCATTGTTAGTGGAGGCCCACTGATAGTTTTAAAGAGTATATGTGACATGACTTCAACTGGTATCCACTCTCTCCCTTAGTAACTTGCCACTTGCCAGAGTTCTGCTTGTACCTTACCCATGAAGGTCGGGTTAGAATTGATCTTCAGCAACCCATGCTTGTCGTAAAGGCGACTGGCCGGGATCAGGTGGTCAGACTCGCTGACTTGGTTGACACATGTCATCAATTCCCCAATCGGCGCAGATCCATGCTCATGCTATTGATCACTGGATTGTCTGGTCCAGACTCGATTATTTACAGACCGCCACCATATAGCTGGAATATTGCAGAGTGCGGCATAAAACTAAACTCACTCACTCACTCTGCTTGTACCTGTGTGTTGTTGTTGATGTTGCCAGTCAGAAGGTGCAGATGAAGTCCCAGGTTGCTGACGCTTTCCTCAGCAAGTTCCAGCTGAAGACAGAGGAGGTGAAGATCCTCCGAGGAACACGTGATGGTCATTTACATCCGGTAGGTTCTTAACGTAACAAAGAAATACGGGAAGTAAACTTCATTGTTATCAGATTTATTCTATGGCCCGAGTTAAGACCTTCATGTTTAGAACTAAAGGTTACACTTGATGCTTTCGGATGGGTCCAAGGCTTGTTTTAATGAGATGATACTGTGATCTTTTTGCAATGAAAAGTGATATAAGTGATACAAAATATGTGGCATATCTTGATGAGGAGGACATGCTTTATTCCCAGAGATACTTCTTGTCAGCAGACACTCATGCACTTTGTTCTTTGTGCAGGATTTCTTCAGTGCTCTGTCCCGTGTCAAGCAAATCCACACAGACTGCAAGTATCTCCTCCGCACAAACCAGCAAACAGCAGGGTAACACAGCCATCTTGATATTCTTGGCACTTTTCTGTTACTGGTTGTATCATCTATTGTTACGGGAATGCTATCAAGCTCAAGGGTATTTTAGTCTTTATCCAACATTTGTTCTTCTCATGAAACTCTGCTACTAATGGCGTTCACACTTACTGTGTCAACACCCATGAAGATCCGGTTTAGAATTGATCTTCAGTAACCCATGCTTGTTGTAAGAGGCGACTAAAGGGATCAGGTGGTCAGGCTCGCTGACTTGGTTGACACATCATCAGTTCCGAATTGCGTAGATCGATGCTCATGATGTTGATCACTGGATTGTCTGGTCCAGACTCGATTATTTTGAGATCGCAACCATATAGCTGGAATATTGCTGAGTGTGGCGTAGAACTAAACTCACTCACTCAACGGCTGTCATGTATGTTGGCAGGAATAGATAGAACCCTGGTGAGATTTAACACAGAACCCTGTTGTGAATTACAGTTGCCATGCTACTTATTGTCAATGATGTTTCCTCGACTAGCTCTAGGTGTTGGTATTATTACAGTGTTTGTCCTGGTATATTCCAGACTGGAGATCATGGAGTCCATGGCTCTACACCAGGAATCTGCTTATGAGAGACTCTATCGATGGACTCAGAGTAAGGAACTACACGCCTCAAGCCTGATTTGTTTCATTTTTAATTTCCTTTGGCCATTCCATCAAAGAATAGGGTCCCAGCACCCATACTTGTTGGAAGGCCCGGTTGAGTTGTGGGACTTGGTTGATTGTGTATCGTTGAACTGTAATGGCATGTATTATTACCTTTGCTACACCATGTAGCAGTCGTTGTAATGTTGCTGAAATATTCCAGTGACATACATCTCTCTCTATCTGCCATGACAACACATTCCAGTATCAGCCTGGTGGAATGGGTGATGACTAGTTGGGAAGGGGGATCTGAATCAATGATTTGGTTGTGGGATGTCATCAAGTTCTATGTGCTGTATGTTGATGCTCTTGTCAATCACTGGGGATTGTCTGCTCCAGGCTTATTTACTGACCACTGTCATACAACTGAAATATTGCTGAGTGGGGCTTTTTAGGGCAAACAAACATGCACTCTCAGCTAGCCCAAAGCTAGTGTTTATAGGCAATGGCATGTTCCCACGATTGGATGTAGATTTGCCTATGTAGTGATAACCTTTTGATAAAATTATTCCAGATGAGTCAGTACACTTGACATGTTTCAGATGAATGTCGAACCCTGACAGGAGACTCTCCTGACATTCAGCCTGTGCTGTGCCAGGCCATGGGTGCTCTCAAGGATAGACCTGTCTTGTTCAAGTAAGTTTGACAAGGTGTTTGGAACGACTGAGGCACATCAAGTTGCTTTGCAGAGTTACATCCCTTAACCAGAGGAGGATCTGCTGATCATTGGTTCAGTTGTCTTATTGAAGTGTTCTTGGCAGATGCACAACATGTGCATGCATTGTAGCTTTACATCAATCTGTATCACGCTGATATCCACGAATAAGATTGAAATACCAATTAAAGCATTGATATAGCCAATCAAAACACTCACTTCTTAAAGAATTGTGTTTCAACTAATAATGTCCACATGTAATTTTTCATAGGCTCTATCCACAGAAAACTTCTTATAACTAGGCCTTGGCCATCTCAGAAATAAATATGTCTGCATGTTTCTGACAAAACAGGTGGCACTTCAAACAGTATTGTCATCAATGACAGACCCAAACAATTTCATGCTATATAAACATTTGATATTTTGAGCTACATTTTTTAAGTACAGTCAGGCCGCGGTAATCCGGTCCTCGTTAATCCAAATCCACCGACTTCCGAACGCTACTCACTGGGCACCAAATCATCTCCCTATATATTGTATATAATGGACACCTCGTTAGTCCGATGATTCAGTTTCCGCCTCCGAACGCTGGTCAGTCGGAACGGATTGGACTAATTAAGTTGTAAACAGCTGCGTTAATCGGAACGATTGAAGTTGACCGAGCTGCTGACTTGTCCACCCAAAGTGACACGTTGTTTGTTTAGCGACTTAGCAACTCATCCCTTTGATCCCTTTATCATAAGTGATAGGGAATTCTTTTTCAGAAGAAGTCCTCCTTGGGGTACATATAAGCATTAAAATGTCCAATTTTTCCTTATCCTGACTCATGCTCTTTTGCTTGTCTTCTTCTTCTTGCGAACATAGTGGAACACTTGTATCTCCTTATTTGAAGCTCCCTTCAAAATAAAATCACTAATTGGTACTCACCACGAGTTGCTCCCCTTTGTCTCCCCTGGCGGGAAAAGGTGTCGCCACCCTCTGGCCATGTGCTTCACTCTCTCCTTCTTCGCCCAGTGAGCAGGATGTGAGAGCGCCTTGTGTCTCCTTACACACATATCCTTTGATAATCTCTTAGTTTTTACCTCTCATAGGTTACTATAGAGGTATAGCTAGTATCCTTTACTATTTGTATTGATTAATTATCATTATTTCTACTGTTTATTCCGTGTATTAAGTGATTGTTCAGCTAACTACGTTCATGAAAATCTATGCGATTTGTAGATTCGTTTTTCTGCCTCCGATCCACATGTAATATGCCCTAGTTGTTCTCGCCGGTAATGCGTTTAATTCCGTTGCAGTTACTGCATTAATTTATCTCATTCTGCATTTAATAAATATCATCTTTTCGTCTTAAGGCGTGCTGCAGATAGATCCATGCAAACAAAGGGCAAAACATGGCAGAAGTCCAGATATTCCTTCCAGTCAGCTGCTAGCGATCGACCCTCTCCGTCTGGTGTTCTGCTAGAGACCCTGCGGCAGAGGCGATGGGGCCATGATCCGTTACCTCGAAGAAAGCGACCGGCCTCCCCAGACATCCGTCATTGCAGACTAAGTCTAAGAGGGCCTCATCGTCGTCTCAAGCGCAGATTGAGGACACCCAGGGCAGCGCCAGACTTCCAAAGGAAATCACGAAGACAGCAAGAACTTTCTCAGCGAGATCGTTCCAGCAGCAGAGTTGGGCCTCTCACGATGATCAGCCGATAATCATCCCGACTTACGGCAGAAGAAGCGACCGGTGTCAGCGACTGTGACTTCTGCAGAGATCTCCATGCAGCCTGATGCCTCTACACCGGCGTCAGGCGTCATTGATGTGAACCCCATCGCAGAAAAGAGCGCCGGCGACCGTCTAGATCATCCCAGAAGACATGATGCGGCAGATTATGAACATCATGGAGGACCACTACAAACCGCGCAAGCGAGTCCGAGCAGCCGAAGGCTCCAGCGTGAACAACACCCCAGAGGCACCCCGTCAGCGTAGCAGCCAAGGCGATGTCACCTTCGCGAAGGAAGTCCGCACCACCTTGACGAAGGACCTAGATGTACAGCCAGCGAAGGCCTTCAGCGGCGGAGAGATCATCACCATCTTCGATTTCATCTCTAGATATGGACTCAGACCATCAGACATCACGGAAGCCTTCGCGAAGGTCATATCATCGATCCCGGACGGGACGTTAAATGAAGCTTCGCGAAGGCATTCGCGAAGGACATATGATTCAGATCTTCATCGTCTAGAAGAACATCGAGGGACTGCCGAAGAGCAGCGAAGCTATCAACATTCACCTCACAAGTCTCGAGAAGATCATCCATAGGCGATCTCCACTCCGTTCATCACCAGGTGATCACCCATCAGATCTCCACATAGAGCGGCGCACAAGTCAACTAGATCGCCACAAACCTCATCAGATATACAGACAGCTACCGCGGTCGAAGAGCATCTACAATTTATTAATGATGATGGTTTTGAGGATGATGGAGGAATCATATTTTCTGATGCAGAATCACGGTATTGGATGGTCAATAACCTAGATCTCACATCACCATCTAAAAGTGGCAATACAGCTCAGGCGTATTTGATGAAGGAAGATGATCCAGATGCAATCACTCTACCCCGATCGACCCGATTGCGGCAGTGCCACAGAATCTAGATGCAGCTTTCCAGAAAGCTCACGAAAGTTCAGATACCACATCTACCCAACTTTCAAGCCAAGAAGTTCTCCACGCATAACATGGACTCCTTCTACAAGGCCCAGGACATCGATGAGAACTATAAGATCATCAGCGATGTAAAGAACAAGATTTACAAGATGGATGATCGCAAAGTTGGCTCATATAGAAACCATGGCGAGGCGTATGTTCTTTGGGTTAAATAGATCTAGGGCGATCAATGAGACTCTTATTACTAGATTCGGGATTCCACGGCCGGAAGATGATAGAATGATTTATTCTGCCTTACTTATGCAAAGAAAGATCAGCAGTTTTAGCGGATCATCTTACATCTGTTTCAGCAGCACTGACCTTAGCTCGTCGTCAAGGCCTCCTCGCCTCCTGTAATTGGGGAGAACTTTACAGCCCCACTTTATACAGCCCCGTGGTCGACAACATCCATCTTTGGCGGAGAAATCGACAAGGTCGTAAGGAAGTCTCTAAGGATTCCAGGGAAGTCCTTATGATTAGATCGATGGACACACTAGCCAGCGTCATTCGTCAGACTTCACAAAGATACTCAGGCAGATCTAAGTTCACGGGCCTACAAAGAGCAAGAGACAGGAAGATAGCCAGCTCTAGAGGTAAAGATTCTTTTCGTAAGCCCATATGGCAACTATAGAGGAGGATCAGGAAGAGGCAGGACACCCAGAGGTTCCGCAATTATAGGCAGCTGAAACACAGGTTCGAGCGACTGGAGTCTTCCACCCCAGCCGTTCCAGTACAACCAGCTCAAGTGGGTGGGCCTCCAACTACACTGGGAAAACTGGGGAATACTGCAAGATCCTTACGTCTCCAACATTATTCAACACGGATTTCGTATCCCTCTACAGGACAAGCCTCCGCTGACAATCAAACCCCCCAAGTTCGATTTACAAGCGCAACAACTACCAAAGATAAAAGAGGCTGTCTCATCACTCCTATCCAAACAGGCCATAGAAGTAATAGACCAAGCAAACGTCGAACCAGGTTTCTACTCCCCAGTTTTCCTAGTTCCCAAGAAAAACTCCACGGAGAAATACAGACTCATCTACAACATGAGCTTTTCAACAAGAACTATCTACGCCAAACCACCGAAGTTTAGCATGATACATTTACCTCAGTTACGCCAGATGATTAGATCCTATGGACTACATGGGCAGCATAGATCTACAGGATGCCTACTTGCACATCCCCATTCATCCCGATTCCAGGAAATACCTACGATTTACTCTAGAAGGGCTACATTACCAGTGGAAAGTACTCCCCATTGAATATCATCAGCCCCTGGCTATTCACGAGGATACTTAAACCGATTATCAAATTTCTACATCGTCAAGGGCTACATGAGTCGCGTTTTACCTCGACGACGGGATACAAGTAGATCAAGATCCTGCGTCTCAAACTACAGTTAAATTACATCATAAAGCTACTAACACAACTAGGTTGGTTAGTAAACTTACATAAGTCGGACCTAGTACCATCGCCAAGACCTACAGTTCCTAGGTATTCGATTCATCACAAATCGTAACCAGTATTATGGTACCAGAAGACCGTTGGCTCAAGATACAACAGACCATTCCACCAGCTCTACTCTCTCCGTTACCACTCGCGACAATGGCAGAGCCTACTAGGTCTTCTCACATCAGCCCAAGACATGACTGTCACAGGCAGATTACAGTTTCGTCCCCTACAGGTCCTCATCAAGCACATCTCAACGATGTACAACCATTCAGTCTACCGAAACATCTCAGACCACATCTACTATGGTGGACCAAGAAATCGAATGTCTCGAAGGAAGGATTTGTTTAGCAGAGCAGGAATACAAAACCCATCTGTATGTAGACGCGTCACTCCAAGGTTGGGGAGCTCATCTCACCAACCACCACGATATCAGGGTTATGGAATCAGCAAGAATGCAAACTCCATATAAACAGTCTAGAAATGAAAGCTGTAATCAACGCCCATTCTACATTGGAGCACATTTCTACAAAATGCCTAATGATCCATACAGACAATTCGACAGTGGCGTTCTACATAAACAAGCAAGGCTCAACGAGATCGATGAACCTTTTGAACCTAAGCTTTCAACTGTTCGATTTAATACAAGATCTAAATCTACATGTCAGAGCAGTGCACATTCCGGAGCCAGAAATATACTAGCAGGCGGCTCTCTCGGCCTCATCTACCATCACCGACAGAGTGGATGATCAACCGGAAATTTTGCACAGATAATCAAGCAATTAGGGCGTAGCTAATAGACCTATTAAGCCCGCAGCGATTCAACAATCAGCTACCG